CTCTTATCATACTGCAGCAAGGACGCGCCCGTGACCGCACCAGGGTCGGACTTATCAGCAACTTTGGCGATAAAAACACCGTAGTATTTATCAGTGCTCGTGAAATAATGGACTGTACCCACAGAAATGGCGCTTATCGGTTCTAGATGGTTAGTTATGTAATGTGTCCCTTGTCTTGGTCGCATAATTGAAGGAGAACTCACTTTACGGGATGAAAACGTTATCAAAATGATTAATATCCATGGATTTATCGCGTATTTCGGTTATCGTCTGACTGGTTATATCCGCTTTGATTTATTAATGGCTCGTTCGTCTTCCAAAATGTTTTTTTTTAACGGTGTGATGAAATAGGTTGTTTTGTGTAACTGATATTAATGAAACGTGTTAAATGGCGTGGATTTTCCAAACTTTGATGTGTAATGTTGGTGAACACATGACTCGTGTCAGTTATTTTTCATGAATTACATAACCCCAGTGATATAGAATTGTGATGAGTGTATTTATCTTCATGAAATGGACACTGATGATGATATATAGTTTTCACAGTATAAGACCGCGGTTCCTTGCCGTGGCATTATCGGATCCGACGTGGTCAGGGACCATCTATCTCGTGCTTGAGTGCTTGCCAAAGGAAATGACGTAAGAGGAGGTGTCTCGCCGCCGCGCCGGGGGACTCCCGCGCCGCCCCTTCGAGGAGTTCCGCGTGCTGTGGCCGGGGCGGGAATGTCCCTTTTTGATCGCTCTTTCGGCGCGGGGGCTTTCAGTCTCGGACGACGTGCACGCTTGCATACGCACGCGGACGGAAATGCATTTAAGTGCGTACAAATACTCATGCGACCACACACGCGAGCACGCACGCACCAAACACACAGACAGTTACACTCGCGCTCGCACACGTACGTGTACACGCACACATACGTGCACACACACATACACACGACCACGCGCACACATACATGTACACATGTACACACATGCAAACACACACAAACACACACACACACAATGACACACACACACACTTACATAAGTGCACACGCACACACATACACATGTGCACACGCACACATACATACACATGTGCACACGCACACATACGTGCTCACACACATATCACACACACATACACACACACACACACACGCAAATGCCCACACACATACACATGTACACGCATACATACACAGGCAACCAACACACACACACACACACACACACACACACACACACACACACACACACACACACACACACACACACACACACAACACACACACACACACAATGACGCACACACACACCACACACACACACAATGACGCACACACACACACACACACACACACACAACACACACACATGACGACACACACACACACACACACACACACACACACACACACACACACACACACACACACACACACACACACACGCACACCACACACACACACACACACACACACACACACACACACACACACACACCACACACACACACACACACACACAATGACGACACACACACACCACACACTCACACACACACACATACACACACACACACACACACACACACACACACAACACACACACTCACACACACACACACACACACACACCACACACACACACACACACACACACACACACCACACACACACACACTTACACGCATACACACACACACGCACACACACATACACACACACACCACACACACACACACACACACACACACACACACACACGTACACACACACACACACAGACGCGCGCGCACACATGCACACACACACACATGCACACACACACACATGCACACACACGCACATACACTCATATACACATATACATACACATGTACACACATATACATACACATGTACATTCACACGTACACACATGTACATACACATGTACACACATATACACACATATACATACACATGTACACACATGCACATACACATGTACACACATGCACATACACATGTACACACATGTACATACACATGTACACACATGTACATACACATGTACACACATATAAATACACACGCACACATACACGCACACACTCAAACACACACACACAGGGATATGCCTGTTGTTTATATTCACACGCACGTATTTACACATAACACGTGCCTTAATGATTGATATGATCTCGGTCATTTACCAGTGTAATAACATAATGATCAGTCAGTATGTGACTATTATCAGAGATTGTCCACAAACAGACATTAATATGCTGATTGTAGGCCTTAAAAAGTTTTAATAATTCATTTCCATTAATATACAGACTATTATAAACGTACGATAAGGTTCAGTATTAGGCACAGCAGTCTTATATGTGCTCCCAGAGATCGCAGTCTCGTGAACTGTGAAAGTACAGTGACAGGCATTAAATGATGGGGCACATTCACACGAACGGTGAAGGTGCGGTCGCTGGTACGGCTCCAGGTACTTGGGATGCAGGGAATCAGACACTGGAAGGAAACTGCACCATCGAAAGTTTTTTTTTTCCGAAACGCTGTGCTGGACAATTTTAAGGAATACTGATTGCACAAGAACTTTTTTTAGTTGTTCTCGATGCAGGACCAGCCATTAGCAGGTCATGGCTCCATAGCTTTCTAAGGGAGCGTCGTGACTCAGGCCAGGCCCCATGAATGGCTGCAGTTGGTAATGAATGGGGTGTGGTAACCAGCCGCGCTAACCGTTAAACCATACCCTAAATTTACTGTGGGTCGCCAAGAGAGGGCTCCCTCCTGCCCGCTCCTCCTACCCCGGCATGCATCCTCGGGGAGGGAAAAAGTGTAAAGGGAAATGCAAAGGGGAAGGGCTTCACTTGAGTGGTTTCATAACGTGCACAATAACACGTATATTGCTTAGGCTCTGAATTGAATCGTGAAATCGGCTTATCGTGAAAGTAGACAGTGACAGTAGAAGAGTGAAATTGGCGGGGGCGGCAGCACGGGTGGCCGAGCACCGCATTGCCGCACAGCTCAGGGGGCAGCGCTCGCCCCACGCCGTCAGTTGTGCGGACACGTCGGCGAGAAGCGAACACTTGCGATCACGCTCTGGGCCCCGCTCGCTCGCTCGCTCGCCCGCACTCTCCGCCTCGCCAGCGCCGCCGAGGGAGTCAGCGCTCGCCGTCTCGTCAGAGTTGAGATTTCCTTCGGCGATTCCTCCGAGGTCTGCTTCGTGCGAGTTGTCAGTGAGTTGGTGCTGGTCGATCAGTCGGTGTGATTTTGTGACTCGTTTAAAGGGATGGATCGTGATGCTTAGCGGGGCTATCTAGTCGCTTATCTAATCAGGTGTCGCTGGCTGTGGGTGACAATTAGGCCGCACGGGGAAACTATACCTGGCGATGAATGATCAGACATCGTGTGTTTTATTCATTCCGCGGGACTCGAGTCGCCATAACCTATAGATCGCCCTAGGGAGTGACTCTAAGGTAAAGATCACATAGTTTATTCATAGTCATCGTGTGTTTCGTGCGGGTGCCGAGGTGAATCAGTTGTGTGAACTGACAACCGAGACCTTGAGTAACTCGCCGATCATTACTTTTATTTGGCCATCAATACCACGTATCGAATCGCCTTGTAAACTTTATTACCGGAAATGTCTTTTGTATTTTCTGGATTCGGCCGGCAAACATCCGGCTGGGGATGGGCCCGTGGTTTCGGGATTTCCTTTAAATTGCCCGAAGACGCCGAAATGACGAGGACTCCCCCCCCCCATGCAGCAAGGGAGAAAGTCCTGTGGGGGAGCGAGGAGATAGGACAAATTACAAGGGTTTTTAGGAAATTCTGTTTATTCGTTTTGGTACAGACGCATTTTTCCTTCCTATGTATACGCTTCAGGAAGTTACCTGTCGAGCCCTGCCAAGGCGACGTCCGGCCTGGTAACACAGAGGGTGACGGAGGCGGATGACAGGCAGGGGGAAAAATCTGCTCCGAAGCGGTGTTGTGCCAGCTTCGGAAAGGCCGAGGGAAGCCGGATCACCGGATGATGCGTTTAGAATTAATTACTGTCCAGGCGCTAATGGTTGGGGAGATGTTGCGCTAATGCGTGAGGTAATGGTTTGGCTGATTAATTACCAGCGAAGGGCCGTCGAAGGGAAGGGAGCGTTATTAGCGTTCGCGCGTGCGGAGTCGCCAGCTGAGAGGTGGTTAAATTTAGCAGCCTCAGCACGGCCCACGCCCCTCCCCTAGTGTGTTCCGCTCCGGGGATGGGCCGTAGCTAAGAACGGAGTAAAGATGGCCAAAGCAGTCGATGAAGAGTGACGAGACGAAGGAATAGAGAGGGAGGTAAAGATTCGCTTTGTTAGAATGTTTGTTTGAAATGTAATTTTTACTCTTGTTTTCTATGGTAATGTTTTTTGTGGTCTTGGGCTCGGAGGCAAGACGCGATAAGCCTGAGTGTCAGCCTAGGGGGCAAATGTAAGCAAAATATCTTGCTAATAATGGCATGTCTGCGGTGGCAAGTCGTAATTGTTCCAGAACTTATTTTATCGAAAGTGGAGGCTTTTCACAGAAATTAAGCTGGATGTATCTTATCAGTTAGGAAGTAAACTGATTTTATATTTTCTCTGGGAAAACGTGATACGGCTTTTGTAGGATGAAAGACATCTTATCCATTTCTTTTTCTCGTATTCTCATATGCATGCGTGTGAGTGTGTTTTTTGTGTGGATGATATACAAAAAAAAATATGTATCGCTTCTGTCGATAGTTTTTTTTTCTTCTTTTCTTTTTGTACAAAGAGAATCGTATAGAGTGTGCGTGTCTAGATCTCAAGGCCAGAGATGACTTCATCTTTTTCTTTTAGAGAGAGAGAGAGAGAGAGAGAGAGAGAGAGAGAGAGAGAGAGAGAGAGAGAGAGAGAGAGAGAGAGAGAGAGAGAGAGAGAGAGAGAGAGAGAGAGACAGAATGAGGAACTAGATGACACACAATTGAAGATTACACACGAGCTTACTCCCCCCTTCTTGTTCCAGGAGCAGCGCGCGTGCAGGTAGTCAGGCAAGGATCCTCCTGGGCACTATGGACGACTTGAGGCGCGATCGTCTAGGGCAGCGTCCCTACCACGAGCACACTGGGGACAACATCTGCCCCAACATGGTCAGGGGCATCGACTACCTCAGGGATCCCAGGTTGAACAAGGTCAGTAACAGGGCACTCTCCTCTCCCCTCCTCCTCCTTCTATCCCCTCTTCTGGTTTTCTTCCTTCTCCCCCTCTTCTTCCTCCTTCTCCTTCTCTTTTTCTTCTTTTTCTTTCTCTTTCCCTTTCCTCTTCCTCCACTTCCTTCTCCCCTACTTCAGGTTTTTCTTCCTTCTCCTTCTCTCTTTCTTCCTCTTCCTCTCTCTCTTTCCTATTCTTTTTCTTCTCTCTTTCCTTCTTCTCTCTCTCTTCTCTTCTCTTCTTCTTCCTCTCTCTCTTCTCTCTTCTTTCCTCTCTCTTTTCCTCTTCCTCTCTTTTTCCTCTCTTCTTCTCATCTTTCTTCTTTTCCTCTTCTTCTCCTTTCTCTCTTCTTCTTATCTTTCTTCTCTTCTTCCTCTCTCTCTTTCTCTTCTTCCTCTCTCTCTTCTTCTTCTCTCTCTTCTTCTTCTCTTCTCTCTTCTTCTTATTTCCTCTTCTTCTTCCTCTCTCTCTTTCCTCTTCTTCTTCTTCTTCCCCTCCCTCTTTCCTCTTCTTCTTCCTCTTCCTTCTCCTCCGCTATCACCTCCCCTTCCCCCTCCCCCCCCGCCTCCCCGTCTCCTTCCTTTCCCCCCCCCTTCCCCTCCCTCCCCCCCTTCCCTTCCCCTCCCTCCCCCCTCCTCCTCCCCCTCCCCTACTCTCCCCTTCCCTCCCCCCGTATCGATTCCGAGGGTCTCTGTCGCGTGTGCTTTGCCGAGACTGGCGTCGGAACGTTTGTTTGTTGTCGTCATCTCCTGCGCGTCGGCTCCCGTTCGCGGACTCGATAAATCAAATGCACGAGGATGTTGCATTACACAGCAACTACTGCGGAATGTGCAACAGGTGCTCGGATACGCAGGTTGTACGGGTGTATGTTGGTGGGCGCGGATGGGCGTTTTTTATCCTTTCCACGCCCGTGATTTCTCTTTCTTTCTTTTTCTTTCTTTCTTCTTTTCTCTCTCTCTCTCTTCTTTCTTTCTTTCTTTCTCTTTCTCTTTTCTTTCTTTCTTTCTTTCTTTCTTTCTTTCTTTCTTTCTTTCCTTTCTTTCTTTCTTCTTTCTTTCTCTCTCTCTTCTCTCTCTCTCTCTCTCTCTCTCTCTCTCTCTCTCTCTCTCTCTCTCTCTCTCTCTCTTCTCTCTTCTTTCTTCTTTCTTTCTTTCTTTCTTTCTTTCTTTCTTTCTTTCTCTCTCTCTCTCTCTCTCTCTCTCTCTCTCTCTCTCTCTCTCTCTCTCTCTCTCTCTCTCTCTCTCTCTCTCTCTCTCTCTCTCTCTCTCTGTCTCTCTCTCTCTCTGTCTCTCTCTTGCTCTGTCTCTCTCTTGCTCTGTCTCTCTTCTTGCTCTGTCTCTCTCTTCTTCTCTCTCTCTTCTCTGTCTCTCTCTTCTCTGCTCTCTCTCTCTCTCTTGCTCTCTCTCTCTCTCTCTCTCTCTCTCTCTCTCTCTCTCTCTCTCTCTCTCTCTCTCTCTCTCTCTCTCTCTCTCTCTCTCTCTCTCTCTCTCTCTCTCTCTCTTGCCATCTCTCAATTATTTCCTAATACCGCACCCTCGCCCATGCAGTCATTTTATTGATTCGAGGTTCTTCGCCAGTGCCGCCCACGCCTAGCAGTCGCGACGCCCGCCACCAGCAACCGGCCATCAACACTCACGATTTCTCTCGCTGAGTGTGCATAGCGCCAAGACAAAGGTTGAGCAACAGGTTAGAAAGTCCGGCCACGTGAGGGTATCCACGCACGGGACGGATGTGTGTGTGGGGGGGTGTGGCGGCCATGGGCGGCGAGGGAGGTTGCGTGGGCGTGGGGCGTGGCGGCGAGAGGTCGTGTTTGTTTGAGAGTTTTTTTGGGTGTTGTAGATGCAGATTTTTCTTTTCTTTCTTATCGCGATGAGTGAGATTTTTGAATGGATTAATTCGGTTTGAATAGTTGCCATCGGGGAGGGTTTGTTTTTTTGACATTTACAGTTATGACTTACGAAACAGACTTAACGAAACCGTACAGATGGCCGGCGGGACGTGAGACGTGATTTCCCATTAATGTTGTGACGTGCCCCGCGGCTGCGACGTCAACACGGGCCGACGCCATCTTGCGGCGATGGGTATGCGTTCCCTGCTATCCGGACTCGCGCTTCGTTCCGCCGCCTCGGTCGATTCAAGTCCTGTTGCTCTTCAGATTCAAAATGTTGATGAAGTTTTTGAGTCGTTAACGTAAGGCCGAGGCAAAACCAATAAAGACGGGCCGCAAGCAAAAGAGAAGAAATGAAACGATAAACCGAGACAAGACTCACAACTTTGGAAAAAGCAATCAAAAGAAACTGCCGCATCACCATTAGCATAAACACAGCTGGATATTAGGAAGGCATTTTTTCCTCCCAAGGCGCAAGTCACGGGAAATCCCTCCCGCCACAGGCCCGCGTTCCACCGGCTGTGACGTGAGGCGAGACCCGGACTGGGCGCGAGGGCGGCCGGCGGCGGCGGAGTCGGGGCGCGAAGCCTTGTACGTTCAAGTGAGGCTTCACAAAAGCCGTGTCTTTGGCCACGCACATGGCAGGGAGCTCTGGCGTTTTATAATGGATGTGGGTTAGGGGAACGGCGGAAGGCAGGGCGGCGCGGAGATAAGGTTTGCCTTTGGAAGCCGGGTCCAGCCGTGCCGAGGAGACTCTTTTCAGGTGCGGAAGGGCAGTCGTCCTTCCTCCTGAATATGGTATATGTAGCGTTTACCTAATCGTTAACACAAAGCCCACTTGTCGATGAACTGCTGTTGTTTGTTCAACTTCACGTTCAAATTACGCATGCGCGCGCGCACACACGCACACGCACACGCACACGGAGGAAGAAAGGCGAAGCTAGACTTCGCAAATCCCCCTGAATTTAACTGAACTGACAGAGAGAGACAGAGAAAGGGAAAGAAGGGGTAGAGATAAGGGATAAATAGCGCCTTAAATTCAAACCAATAACTTTGTTGGAATGCAGTATGCATGACACAGATATCTTATCTCGTACGATATTTTTATTTTCGCAAATCAGCTAAGAGGCCTGAGACGTGTTTGCAACCACAGGCGAATCTAGGGAATTACATGAGCTTGTTAACACTAGACTCGCTGCTTCGTGTCCACAGAAAGCGGCAGTCACGGAAACGCAAACATTGACGTACTGTACCTTGGCGCTTTTTGCGAAGGCGGCAGGGGCACCAGCAGCACAAGTCGTAGGCTCGCTCCAACCACCACATGGCGACCACTCTTGTTTCTTGAATCACGCACAGACAACAGTCACCATTTATCGGCAGTTCAGATCGTTATTGTACTGATATTTGCGGGTCATTCTTAAACTTGGAGACCCTATGATTTATAAAACACATATTTTTTTCTGGAAGTATCTGTTGTCACTAAATAGAATCCAAACACAGGTATTTGATATTCGCAATGCGAGAAGTGAGTAAACACAGCACAGGAAGCACCGACCACTTCAGTGCCACTGACAAACAGTGCCTCATAAATATCGGCCATGTGCAGCGGGGGTCAGCTTAGGTGACTACTTGGGAATCGCCGTTTTTCTGCCGCTTGACCTCGCCGTTTTTATTACTCAGGGAATCGCTCTCTAAACTTGCCAAAAAGGCGCGTAATATTTCGCTTGTCTGTCAGCGTTTACTCAGATGTTTGAAATAACTGGGAGTGAATATTCCGCGAACTTTGTAGGCTTTATATATTGAAGCAAAACGTGCCAAGTATACCGCACCTGGTAACTGAAGGAAGCCACGCAAGTCTGAGGCACTGACGCGACCAGCCAATGAATGATCAGACCTCCCTGATCCTGTTCCATAGGTCACGCTGAACGCCGTCTCTCGCAGAAGCGCTTCCGCGAATGACCTCCGCAAATCGGAAATGAGATGGGGTCGTTATCTGCGCATTCCCCATCGTGCATTTCAGCGGATTTGGTGGTAATTTTTAAGGTTTTATGACCTTGGGGGACAGCTAATCTATTTTGACAAGTACAGAGGTATTTTTGGGGGAGGAAAAATATATATATTGTCTAGTATTGGGTTGAACATGAAACAAGAGTATTATAAAGAAAAATCTGTTGGAATAAGAAAGAACAAGAAATATTCTTGTATATATTATATATGTTATGTGTTTATATGTGTATATATACATAAATATACATATATATGTGTATACTATATATATATATATATATATATATATATATATATATAATATATATATATATATATATATATGTGTAAGTATATGTTTATGTAAGTATATATGTATATATGTGTATAAGTATATATGTATATATGTATATATATACATGTTTATTTTATTATACATATATACATATACATATATATACATATACATATACACACATATATACATATACACATATATTACACACACACAGACACACATACACATACACACACATACACACACATACATACACATACACATGCACATACACATGCACATGCATGCATGCATGCATGCATACATACATACATACACATACATTCTTACATTCTTACATTCTTACATTCTTACATTCTTACATTCACACACACACACACACACACACACACACACACACACACACACACACACACACACACACACACACACACACACACACACACACACACACACACACACACACACACACACACAGTATCTTATTAGCTGGTATTTATATAGGGTAAACTTTTGTTTAATAATTATTGTATTGATATTGATTCCTTCCATTTGATGTTGCTTTTCTCATTATCATGCTTAGACATAACAAATTTTTTCTCTCTCTTTTTGCACCCACAGGGCATGGCCTTCAGTCTGGAAGAACGCCAGGTTTTGGGTCTCCATGGTCTCATCCCACCACGATTCAAGACCCAGGAAGAACAAGTTGATCTTTGCAAGAAGAATGTTGAACGTTATCAGGAGCCATTAAATAAATTTATTTATCTTGCTAGTCTCCAGGTGAATACTGAATGTTTTCATTTTAGCTAATATTGTTTTAATTATTACTGTGATTTGTATTGTTATATTATATTATTTTGATCATCACCATTATATTGATTATCATTGCTGTTATTTTTATCAACCGTTATCTTTATTGTCATCATTACCACCTAAATTTTCATATTTATATTGATTTATCCAATTGAGACTATTTTTCTTATATGTAGGTTTACATGACTTTGCACATGCCAATTAACTCCTCTTTTTACAGGATCGAAACGAACGCCTCTTTTATCGTCTTCTGAGTGAAAATGTTGAAGAGTACATGCCCATTGTTTACACCCCAACTGTTGGTCTTGCTTGCCAGAAGTTTGGTTTGATCTTCCGACGACCTCGTGGTCTATTTATTTCTATTCATGACAAGGGACATGTGTATGATGTGTTGAGAAACTGGTAAGTCATCTAAGATATTGCTACTTCCAAACTTTAAAAAAAGAGTCTCGGTATTTGATTAAAGTAGCAAAAGGTTATGATTAAAGAACTTGTACTCTCAATTTTACTTACTTCCTTGAAGAATGATAAGAACCTGATGTAAATTCAGTTTTGAAATGTTATATTATTATTATTATTTCCAATCATTCACAGGCCAGAACATGATGTTCGTGCCATTGTGGTGACAGATGGAGAACGTATTCTGGGTCTTGGTGACCTGGGTGTACAGGGTATGGGTATTCCAGTTGGGAAATTGTCCCTCTATACTGCTTTGGCTGGAATCAAGCCACACCAGTGCCTGCCTATTGTTCTTGATGTCGGTACCAACCGCAAGGTAAGGAAAAGAATCATTGAGCTGAGGAATATTCATGAGTAGTCTTATTTTCATGACACTACTCATAAAAAATATAGTATCTAACTTGATTTTGTTATATATCATGTGCAACTTGTAAGAACCAGAAGCATGTCATTTATTCCAGTCTTATTTTCAAGATGCTTCTTGTGTGTGTCTGTGTCATGTATAAATTGAACAGCTTCATATTTTTTTCTATTTTACAAAACAGGAACTTCTTGAAGATGAATTTTATATTGGTGCCAGACATGAGCGAGTGACAGGTGAAGCCTATGATGAATTCATTGATGAATTCATGCATGCAGTAGTTCAGCGCTACGGCCAGAACACTCTTATCCAGTTTGAGGACTTTGGTAACCATAATGCCTTCCGCTTCCTTGAGAAGTAAGTAGTGGATAGCATATATTGTTTAATTTTTTTGTATAAAATTGAATATCTTCTACGTTTTCAGGTTAGTGTATTTGCAGCCTCTCCATTGTTTGCCATGAAACAAACACTTATATATTCCCTAACCACAACAGGTATCGAGGAAAATATTGCACATTCAACGATGACATTCAAGGAACAGCATCTGTTGCTGTTGCTGGTTTGTTAGCCTCCCTGCGCATCACTGACACAAAGCTTAGTGATCATAAATTCCTTTTCCAAGGAGCTGGTGAGGTGAGTTTGATGGACATTTTTATTCTTTACAGTGATTTACAGTGATTAAAATAGGTATTTAAATAACCTGTTTCAGAAACCTACCATGATTAAGTCCTAGTATCATATATTAAGGAATCGTTTCATTATTTATCATTTTTTTCCACTTCATTCCATTTTTTGTAGATAATAGCAGGTTAGAAGGATCATAAAGTGTTGCATTGTGAACCCTTCAAAATATAGATTTATCAAGAAAAGTGGATATGATTTCTCATAGGGCATTATTAAGCTAATTTACTTATAACTAGCAGTTGACAATAAGGCAAAAGTTATTTAAATGATCTAGTAGATGGTGAAAAATGGAAAAGAAGAATGTAAAATTTAGAAAGCGTATTGCAGTATGATAATTACATGTACATCTGATATCCAAACTTTTATAATGTTCATGGCCAACTTTTTTTCCAGGCCTCCCTTGGTATTGCCAACTTGATTGTCATGGCCATGGTCGAGGAAGGTGTTGATGAGGAGGAAGCCCGCTCTAAGATTTGGCTGGTTGACTCCCGTGGCTTGATCGTGAAGGACCGTCCCAAGGGTGGAATTACAGGCCATAAGGAAGTATTTGCCCATGAACATGAGCCTATGGATGACCTGGAAGAAATTGTGAGAGAGCTTCAACCAACTACTCTCATTGGTAAGATCAGTGTCATTTTGTGATTTTGTCCTGTTTTTTTGTGTGTGTGTGTGTGTGTGTGTGTGTGTGTGTGTGTGTGTGTGTGTGTGTGTGTGTGTGTGTGTGTGTGTGTGTGTGTGTGTGTGTGTGTGTGTGTGTGTGTGTGTGTGTGTGTGTGTGTGTGTGTGTGTGTGTGTGTGTGTGTGTGTGTGTGTATGCGTGCGTGTATACATATTTGCTCTATTTATGGATTTATCATATGAGGAACATTTAAATCAATTTAATATTGGAACATAAAAACAAGCTATATATCATCTCACCAGATTTATTTGAATTCAGATGAATTAATGTATTAAATATTGTCAAGCTGTATACATATTTATATTATGATTGTCTAATTTCAAGGTGCTGCTGCCATTGGAGGAGTGTTCACCCCACAGCTTCTTCAAGATATGGCTTCCTTCAACGAACGACCAGTTATCTTTGCTCTTAGTAACCCAACAAGCAAGGTATAGTTTGAATATTCTAAAGAACAAGATTTATGGAAAATTTGTTTTGTCCAATTTTTTTTATATTGTAAATGGCTTAAAGAAGTAAATGAAAGGCAGGACTTATTTTTCCACACAAACCCATAATGCTATTACACTCTTTTCTTACACATCACTTTCACGAGGCTATCTAATTCCAGGCTGAATGTACTGCAGAGGACTGTTACACACATACTGAAGGTCGAGGTGTGTTTGCATCAGGCTCTCCCTTCGACCCCGTGACTTACGAAGGCAGGACTTTCCATCCAGGCCAAGGCAACAATGCATACATCTTCCCAGGTGTTGCTCTGGGAGTAATCTGCACTGGAATTCACCACATTGATGATGGAATTTTCCTCATGGCAGCAAAGGTTAGTCTTCTCAAAGTTAAAGTTTGTTTTAATGAGTAATTGAAATTAGTAGGCATGGCATGCTTTCATGTATCTATTATTTTTATATTTTTATATTGTCATTGGTTACCTAGTAACCAGATGTCTGAATGAAATAC